ACACACAGACACACACACAGTCAGACCCACAGACACAGGACCACACACACACACACACACACACACACACACAGTCAGACCCACAGACACACACACACACACAGACCCACACCACAGGACCACACACACACACACACACACAGTCAGACCCACAGACACACACACACAGACAGACCCACACCACAGGACCACACACACACACACACACACACACACACACACACAGTCAGACCCACAGACACACACACACAGGACCACACACACACACACACACACACACACACACACAGTCAGACCCACACCACAGGACCACACACACACACACACACACACACACACACACACAGTCAGACCCACAGACACACACACACACACACAGACCCACACCACAGGACCACACACACACAGACACACACACAGACAGACCCACACCACAGGACCACACACACACAGACACACACACAGACAGACCCACACCACAGGACCACACACACACAGACACACACACAGTCAGACCCACACCACAGGACCACACACACACACACAGTCAGACCCACACCACAGGACCACACACACACACACACACACACAGTCAGACCCACAGACACACACACACACACACACAGTCAGACCCACACCACAGGACCACACACACACAGACACACACACAGACAGACCCAAACCACAGGACCACACACACACACACACACACACACACACACAGACAGACCCACACCACATCAGGACCACATCAGGACCACATCAGGACCACATCAGGACCACATCAGGACCACATCAGGACCATGCAGGCTGAGCTCACCCATCTGTTGAATGTGTCCTGGACGTGTCTTTCTGCAGGACACAAGCTCTGTCCTGACCCTAGGCTGGACTCTGAGACACACACAAACACACACTCTGAGACACACAACACCAGTGGTGTAGATATAATTACACTTACACACTCTATGTTTGTGTGTATGTGTGTGTGTCCTCTACATTTGACCCGCCTGTCTTTGCCAGCGGCTCGGTTAGGACCAGAGGATTTTCCTATTGTATGTTTTTTACAAGTTGTACTGATAGGAAACCTACACAGACACAGGGAGAACATGTAAACTCCACTCAGGACTCGAACCCAGGACTTCTGAGAAGCGAGAGAGTTGACCACTCAGCCACCGTACTGTGGTGTGGCAGAACATGAATGAAGACTGGCCAAACAGCGTAACAAGCTGTGGAGCTGTGTTTGGGTGAGTGAAGCTCCATGTGATAAACTAGTACATTATAATGTGGATCCCTCTGGTCCTGTGTGCACAGGCTGATTATGTGAATCCTAATGTATACATTCACCTTTACCAGAGAAGTATTAGCTTTAGCATTTACTTTAGCTTTAGCGTTAGCATTAGCCTACACCAGTCTCTCTGCTGTAAAGTTACTGTTCTCTAACAGTGCATAAATGGGAGAGTGCCCAAGAATACTTATACTCAAAGTTGAACTGTGTGTTTTGCACTTTCTATTCTCTTGTGAAAAGCAACACTGGTCCAAACAACACGCAAACCTTTCCCACTGTTTGACACTTGCGTCTGCAGTTTTGAAATGCCTCAAGATTGATAGTCTTTTTCAACTTTGGCCTCAGTTTGAAATAGACTTAAAACTGCAGAGAACTTACCCGAGCTTCTGTCAGGGCCAACCTGGAAGAGGACCACCGGGGAACTCAGTTCGTCCTCCACCTGAGACACACACACAGACAGAGAGAGAGTAAGAGACACACACACACACACAGACAGAGAGAGAGACACACACACACACAGACAGACAGAGACACACAGGAGGTCAGTACTGAGGGCCGGAGGGAGCTGGGTGCTGCAGGCTCCAAATCAGACGTTTCCATCTTTACAATCCCCAAATCAGATGTGTTTCCAATGTTAGTTTATATTAATGTTTATGACAATATTCACGATACAGACAGTATGTGATTCTAACATATGAGAATACAGACAGTATTTGATTCTAACATATCACGATACAGACAGTATTTGATTCTAACATATCACGATACAGACAGTATTTGATTCTAACATATCACGATACAGACAGTATGTGATTCTAACATATCACGATACAGACAGTATGTGATTCTGACATATCACGATACAGACAGTCTGTGATTCTGACATATCACAATACAGACAGTCTGTGATTCTAACATATCACGATACAGACAGTCTGTGATTCTAACATATCACGATACAGACAGCCTGTGATTCTAACATATCACGATACAGACAGTCTGTGATTCTAACATATCACGATACAGAGAGTATGTGACTCTTAACATATTGCGATACAGACAGTATTTGATTCTAACATATCACGATACAGACAGTATTTGATTCTAACATATCACGATACAGACAGTATGTGATTCTAACATATCACGATACAGACAGTATGTGATTCTTAGCATATCACGATACAGACAGTCTGTGATTCTGACATATCACGATACAGACAGTCTGTGATTCTGACATATCACGATACAGACAGTCTGTGATTCTGACATATCACGATACAGACAGTCTGTGATTCTAACATATCACGATACAGACAGTCTGTGATTCTAACATATCACGATACAGACAGTCTGTGATTCTAACATATCACGATACAGACAGTCTGTGATTCTAACATATCACAATACAGACAGTCTGTGATTCTAACATATCACGATACAGACAGTCTGTGATTCTAACATATCACGATACAGACAGTCTGTGATTCTAACATATCACGATACAGACAGCCTGTGATTCTAACATATCACGATACAGACAGTCTGTGATTCTAACATATCACGATACAGACAGTCTGTGATTCTAACATATCACAATACAGACAGTCTGTGATTCTAACATATCACGATACAGACAGTCTGTGATTCTAACATATCACGATACAGACAGCCTGTGATTCTAACATATCACGATACAGAGAGTATGTGACTCTTAACATATTGCGATACAGACAGTATGTGATTCTAACATATCACAATACAGACAGTCTGTGATTCTAACATATCACGATACAGACAGTCTGTGTTTCTAACATATCACGATACAGACAGTATGTGATTCTAACATATCTCGATACAGACAGTCTGTGATTCTAACATATCACGATACAGACAGTATGTGATTCTAACATATCTCGATACAGACAGTATGTGATTCTAACATATCTCGATACAGACAGTATGTGATTCTGACATATCACGATACAGACAGTCTGTGATTCTGACATATCACGATACAGACAGTCTGTGATTCTGACATATCACGATACAGACAGTCTGTGATTCTGACATATCACGATACAGACAGTCTGTGATTCTAACATATCTCAATACAGACAGTCTGTGATTCAAACATATCACGATACAGACAGTATGTGATTCTAACATATCACGATACAGACAGTCTGTGATTCTAACATATCACGATACAGACAGTATGTGATTCTGAACAAATCACGATACAGACAGTCTGTGATTCTAACATATCACGATACAGACAATATGTGATTCTAACATATCACGATACAGAAAGTATGTGATTGTAAACATATCACGATACAGACAGTCTGTGATTCTAACATATCACGATACAGACAGTCTGTGATTCTAACATATCACGATAAAGACAGTATGTGATTGTGAACATATCACGATACAGACAGTATGTGATTCTAACATATCACGATACAGACAGTCTGTGATTCTGAACATATCACGATACAGACAGTGTGTGATTCTAACATATCACGATACAGTCAGTCTGTGATTCTGAACATATCACGATACAGACAGTCTGTGATTCTAACATATCACGATACAGACAGTCTGTGATTCTGAACATATCACGATACAGACAGTGTGTGATTCTAACATATCACGATACAGACAGTCTGTGATTCTGAACATATCACGATACAGACAGTCTGTGATTCTAACATATCACGATACAGACAGTCTGTGATTCTGAACATATCACGATACAGACAGTGTGTGATTCTAACATATCACGATACAGTCAGTATGTGATTATGAACATATTGCGATACAGACAGTATGTGATTCTTAGCATATCACGATACAGACAGTATGTGATTGTGAACATATCACGATACAGACAGTATGTGATTCTAACTAGAGGTGCAACGGTTCATCACTGATCCATGATCCGTTCGGTTCAACGTCTTCGGTTCGGTACAGACGTGATCCGCGGTTTGATTTATGAAAAAAAAGTTGTGCGCCCGTTGTTTAGTCCACACACAGCGTGGTCACGGCGAGCAGAGGAACGGAGATGCTTGAAAGCCCTGCGTAATTTAAATCCCCAGTATGAGAGCATTTTGGCTTCACTGTAACTACTACTGATAATTAATATTCAACAAAACTGTCACAGTGTAAACACTGTGGCACAAGAAAGACATGAGTGAAAAAAGCGTCTCAACGACCGCTTATTGTCGCGGCGTTTAAGCAGCTCCTTTACGCACAGTCTGACCGGGCTAAAGTCAACTCTCCCGCGCATCCTCAGCTGCGCTCACGACTGACGCTTGGACGTCCCGCGGAACCTATAATAGATCCATGAGCGGAACGGAGAACTTACTCACCGCAGACTGGGAGATGAAGAGTCTGGCGCTGCAGACACGCCCCCTCTACGACAGTCACACAGTCACACAGCACAGGTACAGACACACAGCACAGGTACTGACACACAGCACAGGTACTGACACACAGCACAGGTACTGACACACAGCACAGGTACTGACACACAGCACAGGTACTGACACACAGCACAGGTACTGACACAAGCAGTGGAGGAATGGAAGACAAAGGCCCAGTACTAATATTCCGGTCACAACTGATAATGCCAAAAATTAAATAAATGCAGTGAATGAGGCTGGGCCCAGAATGGAGCGCCTCCTCGGGAGAATCAGGAGGTTTAATGTGTGAGGGTAAATACCCTCATAAAGTGCCTTCTTAAGTTGCACTTTGTGTTGTTTTTCATTAATTATGTTAAATAGACATAATTGGATGGATGGAATATGCCATCCATCCATCCATGTCCTTCCCCTTTATCCATGTCTAGGTCAGGGGGGGCAGTCAGAGCAGGTGCCGAGTCCACATGAGCTGTGTTTATTAAAAAGACAAAACTTTTTTTTTGAAAAATGAACCGAAAAATGAACCGAACCGTGGCCTCTGAACCGAGGTACAAACCGAACCGTGATTTTTTCAAACCGTTGCACCCCTAATTCTAACATATCACGATACAGACAGTATGTGATTCTAACATATCTCGATACAGACAGTATGTGATTCTGAACAAATCACGATACAGACAGTATGCGATTCTGAACATATCACGATACAGACAGTATGCGATTCTGAACATATCACGATACAGACAGTATGTGATTCTAACATATCACGATACAGACAGTATGTGATTCTAACATATCACGATACAGACAGTATGTGATTGTGAACATATCACGATACAGACAGTATGTGATTCTAACTAGAGGTGCAACGGTTCATCACTGATCCATGATCCGTTCGGTTCAACGTCTTCGGTTCGGTACAGACGTGATCCGCGGTTTGATTTATGAAAAAAAAGTTGTGCGCCCGTTGTTTAGTCCACACACAACGTGGTCACGGCGAGCAGAGGAACGGAGATGCTTGAAAGCCCTGCGTAATTTAAATCCCCAGTATGAGAGCATTTTGGCTTCACTGTAACTACTACTGATAATTAATATTCAACAAAACTGTCACAGTGTAAACACTGTGGCACAAGAAAGACATGAGTGAAAAAAGCGTCTCAACGACCGCTTATTGTCGCGGCGTTTAAGCAGCTCCTTTACGCACAGTCAGACCAGGCTAAAGTCAACTCTCCCGCGCATCCTCAGCTGCGCTCACGACTGACGCTTGGACGTCCCGCGGAACCTATAATAGATCCATGAGCGGAACGGAGAACTTACTCACCGCAGACTGGGAGATGAAGAGTCTGGCGCTGCAGACACGCCCCCTCTACGACAGTCACACAGTCACACAGCACAGGTACAGACACACAGCACAGGTACTGACACACAGCACAGGTACTGACACACAGCACAGGTACTGACACACAGCACAGGTACTGACACAAGCAGTGGAGGAATGGAAGACAAAGGCCCAGTACTAATATTCCGGTCACAACTGATAATGCCAAAAATTAAATAAATGCAGTGAATGAGGCTGGGCCCAGAATGGAGCGCCTCCTCGGGAGAATCAGGAGGTTTAATGTGTGAGGGTAAATACCCTCATAAAGTGCCTTCTTAAGTTGCACTTTGTGTTGTTTTTCATTAATTATGTTAAATAGACATAATTGGATGGATGGAATATGCCATCCATCCATCCATGTCCTTCCCCTTTATCCATTTCTAGGTCAGGGGGGGCAGTCCGAGCAGGTGCCGAGTCCACATGAGCTGTGTTTATTAAAAAGACAAAACTTTTTTTTTGAAAAATGAACCGAAAAATGAACCGAACCGTGGCCTCTGAACCGAGGTACGAACCGAACCGTGATTTTTTCAAACCGTTGCACCCCTAATTCTAACATATCACGATACAGACAGTATGTGATTCTAACATATCTCGATACAGACAGTATGTGATTCTGAACAAATCACGATACAGACAGTATGCGATTCTGAACATATCACGATACAGACAGTATGTGATTCTAACATATCACAATACAGACAGTATGTGATTCTAACATATCACAATACAGACAGTATGTGATTCTAACATATCGCGATACAGACAGTATGTGATTCTAACATATCACGATACAGACAGTATGTGATTCTAACATATCACGATACAGACAGTATGTGATTCTAACATATCACGATACAGAGAGTATGTGATTGTGAACATATCACGATACAGAGAGTATGTGATTCTTAACATATCACGATACAGACAGTCTGTGATTCTAACATATCACGATACAGACAGTCTGTGATTCTAACATATCACGATACAGAGAGTATGTGATTCTGAACAAATCACGATACAGACAGTATGAGATTCTGAACATATCGCGATACAGACAGTCTGTGATTCTGACATATCACGATACAGACAATATGTGATACTAACATATCACGATACAGACAGTATGTGATTGTAAACATATCACGATACAGACAGTATGTGATTCTAACATATCACGATACAGACAGTCTGATTCTAACATATCACGATACAGACAGTATGTGATTCTGAACAAATCACGATACAGACAGTATGCGATTCTGAACATATCGCGATACAGACAGTCTGTGATTCTGACATATCACGATATGTGATTCTAACATATCGCGATACAGGCAGTATGTGATTGTAAACATATCACGATACAGACAGTATGTGATTGTGAACATATCACGATACAGACAGTATGTGACTCTTAACATATCACGATACAGACAGTATGTGACTCTTAACATATCACGATACAGACAGTATGTGACTCTTAACATATCACGATACAGACAGTATGTGATTCTAACATATCACGATACAGACAGTATTTGATTCTGAACATATCACGATACAGACAGGAGGACATGGACAGGACTCACTGAGACAGGAGGACATGGATAGGACTCACTGAGACAGGAGGACATGGACAGGACTCACTGATGTCCATGTCCTCAGTATTTGATTCTGAACATATCACTATACAGACAGGAGGACATGGACAGGACTCACTGAGACAGGAGGACATGGACAGGACTCACTGAGACAGGAGGACATGGACAGGACTCACTGAGATGGAAGGACTCACTGAGACAGGAGGACATGGACAGGACTTACTGAGACAGGACTCACTGAGACAGGAGGACATGGACAGGACTTACTGAGACAGGACTCACTGAGACAGGAGGACATGGACAGGACTTACTGAGACAGGACTCACTGAGACAGGAGGACATGGACAGGACTCACTGAGACAGGAGGACATGGACAGGACTCACTGAGACAGGAGGACATGGACAGGACTCACTGAGACAGGAGGACATGGACAGGACTCACTGAGACAGGAGGACATGGACAGGACTCACTGAGACAGGAGGACATGGACAGGACTCACTGATGTTTTGATGAACTTCATGGGTTTGAGTCCCTGCAGGAGCTGATGACTCTGAGGAACAAGAGACACTTCTGTTAAAAATATGACTTTACTCAGAGAGGGTCAGGGGCCTCACAGAGGGTCAGGACCCTCACAGAAGGGGGCCTCACAGAGTATCAGGGGCCTCACAGAGGGGGCCTCACCAGTGCTGTGGAATGCTGGATCCTCTCCACGATGCCGCTGTGTCCCAAACACTGCAGGGACAGCCACAAGGGGAGGGCCCTCAGCTTCTCCAGGGGCCCGCTGGACATGAGGCCGGCTGACAGGGACTGGAACACACAATACAATAAACTGGAGGTGCTGTGTATGCGTGTGCGTGTGTCTGTGTATCAGTGTGTGTCCGTGTGTGAGTGTGTCTGTGTGTGAGAGTATGTTTGTGTGTGAGAGAGTGTCTGTGTGTGTGTGTGTGTGTGTGTATCTCTGTGTGTCTGTGTGTGAGAGTGTGTCTGTGTGTGTGTGTGTGTTACCAGTGCAGGGTCTTCATGTCTGTACAGAGTGACCGCACACACAGCTGGCAGCCCCAGCCACAGTCCAGGAGTGAGGGTCATGCTGTCACTGCCACAGGCAGCCTGCAGGGGGCACACCAGAGCACACATGACAGAGCATAGGTCTACAGCCTCAGTCCTGGGTCTACAGCCTCAGTCCTGGATCTACAGCCTCAGTCCTGGATCTACAGCCTCAGTCCTGGATCTACAGCCTCAGTCCTGGATCTACAGCCTCAGTCCTGGATCTGCAGCCTCAGTCCTGGATCTGCAGCCTCAGTCCTAGGTCTACAGCCTCAGTCCTAGGTCTACAGCCTCAGTCCTGGGTCTACAGCCTCGTACCATGACAGGAGAGCGCAGGTTCCCCAGGGCCAGAGTCGCCAGGTTCACCCTGTACACAAACATGCTCGTTATGGTCCTAACACACATGCTCGTTATGGTCTTAACACACATGCTCGTTATGGTCTTAACACACATGCTCGTTATGGTCCTAACACACATGCTCGTTATGGTCCTAACACACATGCTTGTTTTGGTCTTAACACACATGCTCGTTATGGTCTTAACACAGTCTTAATCACTCACCCTGATGTCACCCTGATGTACACTCACCCTGATGTCACCCTGATGTACACTCACCCTGATGTACACTCACCCTGATGTCACCCTGATGTACACTCACCCTGATGTCACCCTGATGTACACTCACCCTGATGTCACCCTGATGTACACTCACCCTGATGTACACTCGCCCTGATGTCACCCTGATGTCACCCTGATGTACACTCACCCTGATGTCCCCCTGATGTACACTCACCCTGATGTACACTCACCCTGATGTCACCCTGATGTACACTCACCCTGATGTCACCCTGATGTCACCCTGATGTACACTCACCCTGATGTACACTCACCCTGATGTCACCCTGATGTAAAATCACCCTGATGTCAACCTGATGTACACTCACCCTGATGTCACCCTGATGTACACTCACCCTGATGTACACTCACCCTGATGTCACCCTGATGTACACTCACCCTGATGTCACCCTGATGTACACTCACCCTGATGTCACCCTGATGTACACTCACCCTGATGTCACCCTGATGTACACTCACCCTGATGTACACTCGCCCTGATGTCACCCTGATGTCACCCTGATGTACACTCACCCTGATGTCCCCCTGATGTACACTCACCCTGATGTCACCCTGATGTACACTCACCCTGATGTCACCCTGATGTACACTCACCCTGATGTACACTCACCCTGATGTACACTCACCCTGATGTCATCCTGATGTACACTCGCCCTGATGTCACCCTGATGTACACTCACCCTGATGTCACCCTGATGTACACTCACCCTGATGTCACCCTGATGTACACTCGCCCTGATGTCACCCTGATGTCACCCTGATGTACACTCACCCTGATGTACACTCACCCTGATGTCACCCTGATGTACACTCACCCTGATGTCACCCTGATGTCACCCTGATGTAAACTCACCCTGATGTCACCCTGATGTACACTCACCCTGATGTCACCCTGATGTACACTCACCCTGATGTCACCCTGATGTACACTCACCCTGATGTCACCCTGATGTACACTCACCCTGATGTCACCCTGATGTACACTCACCCTGATGTACACTCACCCTGATGTCACCCTGATGTACACTCACCCTGATGTCACCCTCATGTACACTCACCCTGATGTCACCCTGATGTACACTCACCCTGATGTACACTCACCCTGATTTACACTCACCCTGATGTCATCCTGATGTACACTCGCCCTGATGTCACCCTGATGTACACTCGCCCTGATGTCACCCTGATGTACACTCACCCTGATGTACACTCACCCTGATGTACACTCACCCTGATGTCACCCTGATGTACACTCACCCTGATGTCACCCTGATGTACACTCACCCTGATGTCACCCTGATGTACACTCACCCTGACGTCACCCTGATGTACACTCACCCTGATGTCACCCTGATGTACACTCACCCTGATGTCACCCTGATGTACACTCACCCTGATGTACACTCACCCTGATGTACACTCACCCTGATTTACACTCACCCTGATGTACACTCACCCTGATGTCACCCTGATGTACACTCGCCCTGATGTCACCCTGATGTACACTCACCCTGATGTCACCCTGATGTCACCCTGATGTACACTCACCCTGATGTCACCCTGATGTACACTCACCCTGATGTACACTCACCCTGATGTCATCCTGATGTACACTCGCCCTGATGTCACCCTGATGTCACCCTGATGTCACCCTGATGTACACTCACCCTGATGTCACCCTGATGTCACCCTGATGTACACTCACCCTGATGTCACCCTGATGTAAATTCACCCTGATGTCACCCTGATGTACACTCACCCTGATGTCACCCTGATGTAAACTCACCCTGATGTCACCCTGATGTCACCCTGATGTAAACTCACCCTGATGTCACCCTGATGTACACTCACCCTGATGTCACCCTGATGTCACCCTGATGTACACTCACCCTGATGTCACCCTGATGTACACTCACCCTGATGTCACCCTGATGTAAACTCACCCTGATGTACACTCACCCTGATGTCACCCTGATGTACACTCACCCTGATGTCACCCTGATGTACACTCACCCTGATGTCACCCTGATGTACACTCGCCCTGATGTCACCCTGATGTCACCCTGATGTACACTCACCCTGATGTACACTCACCCTGATGTCACCCTGATGTACACTCACCCTGATGTCACCCTGATGTACACTCACCCTGATGTACACTCACCCTGATGTCACCCTGATGTACACTCACCCTGATGTACACTCACCCTGATGTCATCCTGATGTACACTCGCCCTGATGTCACCCTGATGTACACTCACCCTGATGTACACTCGCCCTGATGTCATCCTGATGTACACTCACCCTGATGTCACCCTGATGTACACTCACCCTGATGTCACCCTGATGTCACCCTGATGTAAACTCACCCTGATGTCACCCTGATGTACACTCACCCTGATGTCACCCTGATGTACACTCACCCTGATGTCACCCTGTACACCCTGATGTCACCCTGATGTACACTCACCCTGATGTCACCCTGATGTACACTCACCCTGATGTCACCCTGATGTAAACTCACCCTGATGTACACTCACCCTGATGTCACCCTGATGTACACTCACCCTGATGTCACCCTGATGTACACTCACCCTGATGTCACCCTGATGTACACTCGCCCTGATGTCACCCTGATGTCACCCTGATGTACACACTCACCCTGATGTACACTCACCCTGATGTCACCCTGATGTACACTCACCCTGATGTCACCCTGATGTACACTCACCCTGATGTACACTCACCCTGATGTCACCCTGATGTACACTCACCCTGATGTACACTCACCCTGATGTCATCCTGATGTACACTCGCCCTGATGTCACCCTGATGTACACTCACCCTGATGTACACTCGCCCTGATGTCATCCTGATGTACACTCACCCTGATGTCACCCTGATGTACACTCACCCTGATGTCACCCTGATGTCACCCTGATGTAAACTCACCCTGATGTCACCCTGATGTACACTCACCCTGATGTCACCCTGATGTACACTCACCCTGATGTCACCCTGATGTACACTCACCCTGATGTACACTCACCCTGATGTCACCCTCATGTACACTCGCCCTGATGTCACCCTGATGTCACCCTGATGTACACTCACCCTGATGTACACTCACCCTGATGTCACCCTGATGTACACTCACCCTGATGTACACTCACCCTGATGTCACCCTGATGTACACTCACCCTGATGTACACTCACCCTGATGTCATCCTGATGTACACTCGCCCTGATGTCACCCTGATGTACACTCACCCTGATGTACACTCGCCCTGATGTCACCCTGATGTACACTCACCCTGATGTCACCCTGATGTACACTCACCCTGATGTCACCCTGATGTACACTCACCCTGATGTACACTCACCCTGATGTAAACTCACCCTGATGTACACTCACCCCTCCACGTGGAGCCACATGTGGTGCTGCTCACACAGGTCTTTCAGTCGGGACAGTTTGTCTGTGTGTCCTGCAGCCGAGGAGCCTACAACAGATCACAGCGAGTAATCTCTGACACCTGCTCCTCTGGCCACGCCCACACTTGCCACACCCAATATGAGCACACATACTATGACCACGCCCACTATGACCACGCCCACTGTCACCTTCACCCATGTTATGAATCTGTTGCACACTGTGGCCCTGTCCACACGTAGCTGTTCTCTGATAAACCGCAGATATTTGTCTTTGTTTGCACCGGTCGTCACAATGACAACGCAACATAAACCAATATATTAATATGGAATATTACATTAAACTCCGGGCTGAGTGAAGATTTTTGAAAACTCAAAAATGTATGCATTTGCGTAACGGGAGTTTTGTGTTTTCACACGTCACAATATGCTCCAAAACAACAACAAAGGAAGCATGGATCTCACTGCCGTGAAAACTGTGGGTGGGTTCAGCGGCGAGATGCAGCCGACATCCTCGCTCCACATCAGAGCAGTGGTCACGGCGACTCACGCTCAAAAACAAGCAAAACAGGAGCTAAACCAGGACTAAACCAGGACTAAACCCGGACTAAACCAGGACTAAACCAGGACTAAACCAGGACTAAACCAGGACTAAACCAGGACTAAACCAGGACTAAACCAGGACTAAACCAGGACTAAACCAGGACTAAACCAGGACTAAACCAGGACTAAACCAGGACTAAACCCGGATTAAACCAGGACTAAACCAGGACTAAACCAGGACTAAACCAGGTCTAAACCAGGACTAAACCAGGACTAAACCAGGACTAAACCAGGACTAAACCAGGATTAAACCAGGACTAAACCAGGACTAAACCAGGACTAAACCAGGACTAAACCAGGACTAAACCAGGACTAAACCAGGATTAAACCAGGACTAAACCAGGACTAAACCAGGACTAAACCAGGACTAAACCAGGACTAAACCAGGACTAAACCAGGACTAAACTAGGACTAAACCAGAGCTGAGGACGGGGGACAGTGCTGCTGAACATATGTCTTTACCCTGAGTTTCTGTGACTGTAAAAGTGCTGCTACAGACGTACCGGCGTTAGCATCAAAGCTCCGCTCACTAAAGATACCCGGCTACGTGTGGACATGGCCTGTGTAAAGGGGCAGAGCACAGAGCATTGTGGCAGGGCTGAATACAGGATGCGTCTTTTTGATTCAATTTCAATTCAGTTTATTCGTGTATTGCCCTAAATCACAACAGTAGTTTCTCAGAGACTTTGCAAAACTGTTGAAATCACCACAGATCAGAGAATCAACGATAGAGACCACATGGTATTGGACTATAGGGAGAGAGAGAGACCAGAGAGAGACCAGAGAGAGACAAGAAAGAGAGACCAAAGCAAGACCAGAGAGAGACCAAAGCGAGACCAGAGAGAGAGACCAAAGAGAAACCAAAGCGAGACCAGAGAGAGACCAGAGTGAGAGACCAAAGAGAGACCAAAGCGAGACCAGAGAGAGAGACCAAAGAGAGACCAAAGCGAGACCAGAGAGAGACCAGAGTGAGAGACCAAAGAGAGACCAAAGCGAGACCAGAGAGAGACCAGAGTGAGAGACCAAAGAGAGACCAAAGCGAGACCAGAGAGAGAGACCAAAGAGAGACCAAAGCGAGACCAGAGAGAGACCAAAGAGAGACCAAAGCGAGACCAGAGAGAGACCAGAGTGAGAGACCAGAGAGAGACCAGAGAGAGAGACCAGAGAGAGAGACCAAAGCGAGACCAGAGAGAGAGACCAAAGAGAAACCAAAGCGAGACCAGAGAGAGACCAGAGTGAGAGACCAAAGAGAGACCAAAGCGAGACCAGAGAGACCAAAGAGAGACCAAAGCGAGACCAGAGAGAGACCAAAGTGAGAGACCAGAGAGAGAGACCAGAGAGAGACCAGAGAGAGAGACCAGAGAGAGAGACCAGAGAGAGACCAGAAAGAGAGGCCGCTGTAGTCCTCTGAACTATACGCAGCGGTGCAAACAAGTCACTAAAGTTTTGTGGTGACTTTAAAGGTAACGGTCATGTTTATGGTTAGATGAAGTTGTTGGAGTAAACATGTGCCGCATGTGGTGAGAAGCAAGCTAGAAATAAACAGCGAGGACACAAAAGGTGAACGGCAACTTAGAATGAACTGATACAGGTGTAGTATTTGGCCGGATACAGGTGTAGTATTTGAACTGATACAGGTGTAGTATCAACTACACGGCGACTTAGTGATGGACATAGTGACCGCATCGTTGCCTGAAGGTGGCGCTGTGGCGGGACTACGGATTGAAAAGCATGATGCTAACTCTGGTGTAGCATCGTTTTAATCTCACTACACGCAAAGCAGGTTACTTTGTTCCCTTTTAATAAATGTAGAAGAGGTGTGTCCTTGTCAGCCATTTTGTGTTCTGTGGGCGGAGCCACAATGTTAAAGAGGTCACAGGTGAAGCTCGTCGGGTTATGTGGGCGTGGTCAGATCACAGTGGAGGTCAGGTGTGAGGAAAAAACTCAAACTGGAACTAGAAGAGTGTTGTACCTGCGTTGGCGATGAGCAGCAGAGGGAGCTTCCCTGAGTTTACATCCTCCTGCACCAGTCTGTCCAAAAGCGCCACATCCTGAAACACACACACACGTACACACACAGACACACACACACAGTTTATACATCTGTCAAAAGAAAAAGAAGGTTTCCTTTAATTCCAACACATAACTCCTGTTTCTCTGTGCCCTGGGGTGTGTTCCATTATCCCACAGCCACAGCCTGTTTCTTGGGGTGTGTTCCATTATCTCACAGCCACAGCCTGTTTCTTGGGTGTGTTCCATTATCTCACAGCCGCAGCCTGTTTCTTGGGGTGTGTTCCATTATCCCACAGCCACAGCCTGTTTCTTGGGTGTGTTCCATTATCCCACAGCCACAGCCTGTTTCTTGGGGTGTGTTCCATTATCCACAGCCACAGCCTGTTTCTTGGGTGTGTTCCATTATCCCACAGCCACAGCCTGTTTCTTGGGGTGTGTTCCATTATCCCACAGCCACAGCCTGTTTCTTGGGGTGTGTTCCATTTCCACAGCCACAGCCTGTTTCTTGGGGTGTGTTCCATTATTCCACAGCCACAGCCTGTTTCTTGGGGTGTGTTCCATTATCCCACAGCCACAGCCTGTTTCTTGGGGTGTGTTCCATTATCCCACAGCCACAGCCTGTTTCTTGGGGTGTGTTCCATTATCCCACAGCCACAGCCTGTTTCTTGGGGTGTGTTCCATTATCCCACAGCCACAGCCTGTTTCTTGGGGTGTGTTCCATTATCCCACAGCCACAGCCTGTTTCTTGGGGTGTGTTCCATTATCCCACAGCCACAGCCTGTTTCTTGGGGTGTGTTCCATTATCCCACAGCCACAGCCTGTTTCTTGGGGTGTGTTCCATTATCCCACAGCCACAGCCTGTTTCTTGGGGTGTGTTCCATTATCCCACAGCCACAGCCTGTTTCTTGGGGTGTGTTCCATTATCCCACAGCCACAGCCTGTTTCTTGGGGTGTGTTCCATTATCCCACAGCCACAGCCTGTTTCTTGGGGTGTGTTCCATTATCCCACAGCCACAGCCTGTTTCTTGGGGTGTGTTCCATTATCCCACAGCCACAGCCTGTTTCTTGGGGTGTGTTCCATTATCCCACAGCCACAGCCTGTTTCTTGGGTGTGTTCCATTATCCCACAGCCACAGCCTGTTTCTTGGGGTGTGTTCCATTATCCCACAGCCACAGCCTGTTTCTTGGGGTGTGTTCCATTATCCCACAGCCACAGCCTGTTTCTTGGGGTGTGTTCCATTATCCCACAGCCACAGCCTGTTTCTTGGGGTGTGTTCCATTATCCCACAGCCACAGCCTGTTTCTTGGGGTGTGTTCCATTATCCCACAGCCACAGCCTGTTTCTTGGGGTGTGTTCCATTATCCCACAGCCACAGCCTGTTTCTTGGGGTGTGTTCCATTATCCCACAGCCACAGCCTGTTTCTTGGGGTGTGTTCCATTATCTCACAGCCACAGCCTGTTTCTTGGGGTGTGTTCCATTATTCCACAGCCACAGCCTGTTTCTTGGGGTGTGTTCCATTATCCCACAGCCACAGCCTGTTTCTTGGGGTGTGTTCCATTATCCCACAGCCACAGCCTGTTTCTTGGGGTGTGTTCCATTATCCCACAGCCACAGCCTGTTTCTTGGGTGTGTTCCATTATCCCACAGCCACAGCCTGTTTCTTGGGGTGTGTTCCATTATCCCACAGCCACAGCCTGTTTCTTGGGTGTGTTCCATTATCCCACAGCCACAGCCTGTTTCTTGGGGTGTGTTCCATTATCCCACAGCCACAGCCTGTTTCTTGGGTGTGTTCCATTATCCCACAGCCACAGCCTGTTTCTTGGGGTGTGTTCCATTATCCCACAGCCACAGCCTGTTTCTTGGGGTGTGTTCAATTATCCCACAGCCACAGCCTGTTTCTTGGGGTGTGTTCCATTATCCCACAGCCACAGCCTGTTTCTTGGGTGTGTTCCATTATCCCACAGCCACAGCCTGTTTCTTGGGTGTGTTCCATTATCCCACAGCCACAGCCTGTTTCTTGGGTGTGTTCCATTATCCCACAGCCACAGCCTGTTTCTTGGGGTGTGTTCCATTATCCCACAGCCACAGCCTGTTTCTTGGGTGTGTTCCATTATCCCACAGCCACAGCCTGTTTCTTGGGGTGTGTTCCATTATCCCACAGCCACAGCCTGTTTCTTGGGTGTGTTCCATTATCCCACAGCCACAGCCTGTTTCTTGGGGTGTGTTCAATTATCCCACAGCCACAGCCTGTTTCTTGGGGTGTGTTCAATTATCCCACAGCCTGTTTCTTGGGGTGTGTTCCATTATCCCACAGCCCGTCTCTGTAAATGCAGCTGCAGTGATGTTGAGGACCTACCATCTGGTGCTGGGATCCAAACATGGTGTTACAGGGGACAGTGCAGAGGCTGGACAGAGGCAGGCCCAGCTGTGGACACACAAACACACACTTCAGCAACACACAATCTCTCTGTGGACACACAAACACACACTTCAAAAACACACATTATCTCTGTGGACACACAAGCACACACATTCTCTCTGTGGACACACAAACACACACTTCAGCAACACACATTTTCTCTGTGGACACACAAACACACATTTCAGCAACACACAATCTCTCTGAGGACACACAAACACACACTTCAGCAACACACATTATCTCTGTGGACACACACTTCAGCAACACACATTCTCTCTGTGGACACACATTTCAGCAACACACATTCTCTCTGTGGACACACAAACACACACCCAAGATGTCTGCCATTCTGACCAATCAGAGAGCAAGAGAACACTTACTGTAGAGCACTGATACAGGTGTAGTATTTGAACTGATACAGGTGTAGTATGAACTGATACAGGTGTAGTATTTGGCCTGATACAGGTGTAGTATGAACTGATACAGGTGTAGTATGAACTGATACAGGTGTAGTATGAACTGATACAGGTGTAGTATGAACTAATACAGGTGTAGTATTTGAACTGATACAGGTGTAGTATTTGAACTAATACAGATGTAGTATTTGGCCTGATACAGGTGTAGTATTTGAACTGATACAGGTGTAGTATGAACTGATACAGGTGTAGTATTTTAACTGATACAGGTGTAGTATTTGAACTGATACAGGTGTAGTATGAACTGATACAGGTGTAGTATTTAACTGATACAGGTGTAGTATTTGAACTGATACAGGTGTAGTATTTGGCCTGATACAGGTGTAGTATTTTAACTGATACAGGTGTAGTATTTGAACTGATACAGGTGTAGTATTTGGCCTGATACAGGCGTAGTATTTGGCCTGATACAGGCGTAGTATTTGGCTGGATACAGGTGTAGTATTTGAACTGATACAGGTGTAGTATTTGGCCTGATACAGGTGTAGTATTTGAACTGATACAGGTGTAGTGTTTGAACTGATACAGGTGTAGTATTTGAACTAATACAGGTGTAGTATTTGGCTTGATGCAGGTGTAGTATTTGCCCTGATACAGGTGTAGTATGAACTGATACAGGTGTAGTATTTGAACTGATACAGGTGTTGTATTTGGCCTGATACAGGTGTAGTATTTGAACTGATACTGGTGTAGTATTTGAACTGAGACAGGTGTAGTATTTGGCCTGATACAGGTGTAGTATTTGGCCTGATACAGGTGTAGTATTTGGCCTGATACAGGTGTAGTATTTGAACTGATACAGGTGTAGTATTTGAACTGATACAGGTGTAGTATTTGGCCTGATACAGGTGTAGTATTTGAACTGATACAGGTGTAGTATTTGGCCTGATACAGGTGTAGTATTTGGCCTGATACAGGTGTAGTATTTGAACTGATATAGGTGTAGTATTTGAACTGATATAGGTGTAGTATTTGAACTAATACAGGTGTAGTATTTGAACTGATACAGGTGTAGTATTTGAACTAATACAGGTGTAGTATTTGAACTGATACAGGTGCAGTATTTGAACTGATACAGATGTAGTATTCGGCCTGATACAGGTGTAGTATTTGAACTGATACAGGTGTAGTATTTGAACTGATACAGGTGTAGTATTTGAACTAATACAGGTGTAGTATTTGAACTGATACAAGTGTAGAATTTGAACTGATACAGGTGCAGTATTTGAACTGATACAGATGTAGTATTTGGCCTGATACAGGTGTAGTATTTGAACTGATACAGGTGTAGTATTTGGCCTGATACAGGTGTAGTATTTGGCCTGATACAGGTGTAGTATTTGGCCTGATACAGGTGTAGTATTTGGCCTGATACAGGTGTAGTATTTGGCCTGATACAGGTGTAGTATTTGGCCTGATACAGGTGTAGTATTTGAACTGATATAGGTGTAGTATTTGAACTGATATAGGTGTAGTATTTGAACTGATACAGGTGTAGTATTTGAACTGATACAGGTGTAGTATTTGAACTAATACAGGTGTAGTATTTGAACTGATACAAGTGTAGTATTTGGCCTGATACAGGTGTAGTATTTGGCCTGATACAGGTGTAGTATTTGGCCTGATACAGGTGTAGAATTTGAACTGATACAGGTGTAGTATTTGAACTGATACAGGTGTAGTATTTGAAATGATAAAGGTCTAGTATTTGAACTGATACAGGTGTAGTAGTTGGCCTGATACAGGTGTAGTATTTGGCCTGATACAGGTGTAGTACTTGAACTGATACAGGTCTAGTATTTGAACTGATACAGGTGTAGTAGTTGGCCTGATACAGGTGTAGTATTTGGCCTGATACAGGTGTAGTACTTGAACTGATAGGCAAGGCAAGGCAAGGCAAGGCAAGGCAAGGCAAGGCAAGTTTATTTGTATAGCACAATTCATACACAAGGCAACTCAAAGTGCTGAACAAGATAGCATTAAAATCATAAATAATTACAGAACATTAAAACGAAAGATAAAAATATAAAATCCCTCAGTTGTATGCACAGCTAAACAGCACCGTTTTTAACCTGGTTTTAAACATTGTCAGAGAGGAGGCCTGTCTCACATCTTCAGGAAGATTGTTCCAGATTTTAGCAGCATGAATCTGAAAAGCAGCCTCCCCATGTTTAGTTCTGACTCTGGGCACTAACAGGATCATCCCGTGCCTAGAGTCCAGAGTCCTGTGCTCCCAGTGTGCTCCTCAGCCTCAGAGTCAGTGCCCTCAAGTCCCAGCAGGAGGTCCAGTCCCTGTGCTCCTCAGAGTCCGGGCTGGTTCATATGGGACTAACATGTCACTAATATATTTTGGTGCGAGGCCATGGAGAGATTTGTACACAAGCAGAGCTGTTTTAAAGTCTATTCTCTGAGCCACAGGAAGCCAGTGCAGAGACCTGAGGACCGGACTAATATGGTCGTACTTCCTGGTTCTAGTCAGGACTCGAGCTGCTGCATTTTGAATGTACTGCAGCTGTTTTACAGCCTGTTTGGACAGACCTGTGAGCAGGCCATTGCAGTAGTCTAACCTACTGGAGACAAATGCATGGATAAGAATCTCCAAGTCTGCTTTAGACACTATGTTTTTGATCCTGGCAATGTTTTTTAGATGGTAAAAAGCTGCTGATGTTACTGATTTGATGTGGCTATTAAAATTTAAGTCTGAGTCCAGTATTACCCCTAGATTTCTGACCTTGTTTGAAGGTTTTAGGGAGAGAGACTGTAGGTGACAGATGACGCTCTCTCTTTGTTTCTGGGGACCAACGACAATCATTTCAGTTTTGTCTGCGTTTAGCTGAAGGAAGTTGTTTTGCATCCACTCACTGATCTGTTGGATACAGTGAAGGAGTGAGTCCACTGGTCCATGTTCTCCTGCAGTCAGTGAGACATAGATCTGAGTGTCGTCTGCATAGTTATGATAGGAAACTTTGTTTCTGCGTATTAACTGACCTAACGGCAGCATGTAGAGATTGAACAGAAGAGGTCCCAGGATCGACCCCTGTGGTACTCCACAGGTCAGGGCCATATGATCTGAGACACAGTTTCCAATCTCCACAAAGTACTTCCTGTCTTCAAGGTAAGACCTAAACCAACTTAGGGCGGTGCCAGCGACGCCAACCCAGTCCTCTAGTCTCTGTAAGAGGATCTCATGGTCGACGGTGTCAAAGGCAGCACTTAGATCTAACAGGATTAGGATTGAGACTTTGCCTGCGTCAGTGTTCAGCCGGATATCGTTTGTAACCTTAACGAGAGCAGTCTCAGTGCTGTGGTGGGGTCTAAAGCCGGACTGAAACATATCAAATGAGTTGTTGATTATAAGAAATCTAGTAAGCTGTAGGTAGACAACTTTCTCAAGGACTTTCCCCATAAATGGCAGATTTGAGATGGGACGATAGTTGTTAAGTACCGTAGCATCCAGACTGCTCTTTTTTAGCAGGGGCCTGATGACTGCAGTTTTCAGGGCCTTTGGGAAATTCCAGAATCAAGGGACATGTTTACTATCTGTGTGAGTGAAGGTAACAGACTGCTCAGAACAGACTTTAGAAATCTAGTGGGTAGTACATCCAGGCTGCATGTGGAGGAGCTCAAACTGGAGATTATCTCTTGGACAGTTTGATCATTTACAGGTGCCAAGTGAGTTAGCTCAGAGAGCCTTTCTGGCTGTTGGATTGTTATCTGTGGATTGGAGACAATGGCGTTTTTGATGCCTTGAACCTTGTCATTGAAAAAATGTGCAAACTCATTACATTTACGTTTGGAAGTTAGCTCTAATGGCATTTGAACAGGGGGGTTTGTTAATCTATTAACTGTTGAAAACAGAACACGCAGATTGTTGCTGCAGCCTTCAATCATTTCAGAAAAATACCTTTCTCTTGTACTACGTAGCACCTGGTTAAAACTCGCACAACTTATCTTTGAAGATCTTGTAATCAACCTGGAGGTTGGACTTGCGCCACTTCCGCTCGGCCCTCCGGCACTCTCTCTTTTGTGCTCTGACCGAGTCTGCTTTAGCCCACGGCGCCTTCTGCTTATTTTTCACTATTTTAACCTTCACAGGAGCGATGGTGTCCAGAACTTTCAAAACACTAGAGGTGACAGAGTTAAACAGTTCATCTACAGTAGAATACGATGCATTCTCAAAGTTTATCATTCCCATAAATAGTTCACCCGTATTTTCATTTATGTGTCTTCTTCGTACAGTTGCAGAGTCCACTGGTGGTTTGTTAGTGAAACACATGTCAAAAAATATACAAAAATGATCCGAAAGCGCAACATCGACCACGTTTACATTATAAATGTTCGCCCCCTTTGTAACTAACAGGTCTAGAGTGTGCCCTTTGCTGTGGGTGGGGCCACTCACATGCTGAGTGAGACCAAAAGATTCAAGAAGAGAACTCAGCTCTTTAGCATTTCTGTCATCAACATTATCCACATGAATATTAAAATCACCTGTAATAACTAAACTATCAAAATCTGTGCATACAACTGAAAGCAACTCTGTAAAATTATCAATAAAACTGTGACATGACTGCGGTGGCTTGTATAGGACAACGAAAAGTATTGGAGGAGATTGTTTTTGTTGTATTTTAAAAGACACATATTCAAAAGACGGAAACTTCCCAAGAGACATTCTATGGGAGACAAAGTGGTCTCTGAAAATGGCAGCTAAGCCTCCTCCTTTTTTGTTTTCCCGTATTTCAGATTCAAATTTGAAATTTGGTGGTGATGCTTCTATTAAAACTGCATTTTCTGTATTTTGGTCAAGCCATGTTTCAGCCATGAACATAAGATCTAGATTATAAGAACAAATAAAATTATTGATTAAAAAAGACT